AAATTACCTCCCTCTTGAAGCTTATGTAGAAAAAAGTTTTTGCTTTAAATGCATCTTACTCGTGAGATCTTTTGAAATGCATATTGACTCGAGCTTTAACCGAACGACAGCCGCCGTTTTTCATTTAGTATTTCTTGAAGAATGTTAATTGTGGAGATGTAACCATATTTGTGCTAGGGCTTTACGATCCTTCTTTATCTCATCAAGAGTCCAAGTAGCTTGAGGTTTATTTCCAAAGGAATCTAATGCATCGTCGTAATCCGCTTGAGCCAAAAAATCCCGCATCTTCACTTGCCAAAGTGAAAAACGAGTGCCACGATTTAAAAGTGGAAGATCGTATTTGACGGTAACCATAGAGTAATCGATTTTATACCCTTATTTTCTGGATTAAGAAAAATAATTCAAAGAAATAGGTTGAAATAATCAATTGTTTTAATGGTTTAAAACCAACAATTGATTAAATTAAAGATATGAATGCTAGTAGGGGATAAGTAAAAGCAAATTAAAATGGCCGGTGGGTTTTGTGGGGTAAAATAAGATGCTTTTAAGATGTTTAAAAGGAGACAACTTATGGGTTTAATAAAGAGAGAAAAAAACGTTGTGATTTAAAGAAAACAGGAAAAAAGAGGGTTTCAAGAAGGCAAGAACGACCAGGGCAAGAACGATTGATTAATTTTGATGGTGTATAGATCGTCACAGAAAAAACGACTTATGAAGAATCGCCAAGAAAAAAATGGTTTGGGGTTCAAAACGACTAACATGTTTGTTCAATCAACAACCGGTATGTTTCTGGTCCTTAACCTAGCTCTGATTCCACTTGTTATAAAACAAAACATAAATGATAACGGAATTGAACACCAGATTTATAGTAGAAAACCCAAAAACGGGAAAAACCACTTTGGAAGAACACTATATAATTCTCAATGTTGAAAAGTGTTACAAAGGTGTAGAACGGGAATGAAAAGGCTAATCCAGAAAGATGATATGATATCCTATATATAGGACTAACTAAACCAAATCCTAATCTAACTCTTTTACTTGATGGGAAAGGAAACAAAATAACTCAACTAGTATAGCTGTCAAATTTTTGGGCACTAAGTTGAAAAGTGTTCGGAGCATATCCAACAAAGCATGCCCGTGATAAATTAGAGAGGTTGATACCTTCATGGACCCATATGGATTTGTTTAGGTCGGTATGTTTTGGGTCTTGCCTTTATGTCCCAAAGAATAATGGGAATACATTACTTGTACATATTATAGTTTTTTGAGAAATTTTCTTGTGCAATGTAAATTTTCCGGCGTGCTACCCTTAAAATCATGTTGGTGATTTTAGTGTCATCAGACATTTTATGTACTTGGAACTAATATGTGAGCTAAGGGGTTTATCGTTTTGTACTCTATATTATATGCTTGGAGAAGGCGGAGTGCATGCATATATAAGATCGAATTATAAGTCGGTATGTCAGAGAGGTGGGGGTCAAGGGGGCCACACCCCTTGTAGGGGTCCTAGGGGCAGCGCCCCTAGCGGTGGTCCCTCGGGTTTTGGGGCAGTGCCCCCAAAAGGTTTTCGAAAATTTGAATTTGTTACCTTATGGAAAAACTGAATATTAATGGGTGATTATGGTAAAATTGATAAATTTTATCAATTTTTGGTAACTATTGATTATGTCATTAAATTCGTGATTCTCCTAACTAATATACAAGACGGAAACCCTAGTCTGTCTAGTATTAATACAACTCCTTAATTAAGTCGTAGCATATACCCTTCTCACCTCTTCTTCTTCTAGACAAACTCAGAACCTTCTGGCGATTTGGCTTGTGTTTCTATGCCTAGATACACAAGTGTACTTTCGGATTATCCAAGACTAGATTTCCTGTAACCAAGGCATAGGATGGAATTATTAGTTCGAAAAGTGAACTTAAACGATCCAAGAGAAATCCGGTTCTCCACCATCACCCTACTCAAATATCCTCCAACAATCAAAATGATATCATCATTTGGTGGAGATGGCAGAATCAATCCGCGAGTTGAAAATAGAGTTCACGAAAGTGGAAAAGTTTGAAGGCAATGATTTCAGGCGGTGGTAGAAAAAGATGTTGTTCATGCTGACCATGCTGAAGGTTGCGTATGTGCTACTCCAAGACCAGAAGTGGTGGAGAATGAGACATTGGAAGATGACTACATCTACAGAGGACACATTCTAAATGGTATGGTTGATTCTGTACTTGAAATCCATTCTAAAGCTAAAAGTGCAAAGGGGTTGTCGGAAACTCTTGAATCAAAATACATGGCTGTGGATGCTTCTAGCAAGAAGTGTTCGGTCAGTGATTTTAGTAACTATAAAATGGTTGATTCAAGATCTGTCATGGAATAATACAATTAACTCCTTCGCATTTTGGGTCAATTCAAGTTGCACAACATGAATATGGATGAAACCATTGATGTGTCGAGTGTAATTGAAAAAATCCCACCATTATGGAAAGACTTCAAACATAATCTGAAACATCATCAGGATGAACTGTCCATGGTTCAATTTGGTAGTCATTCTTCGTGCGCAGTAATGTGACAAAAATAAAGGAAAAGTTGAATTTGGACAACCCTCAATTCATATGGCTGAATACAAACCAGGAGATCTGAACAACAAAGGACATGGCAAACGCAAGTAGGAACATGTCCCTAATATCTCCAACAAAAAGAAAAAGGAACTATTTTTTTTTTGGAGGTGTTAAAGGGTAGGACATTGCAAGCATGAGTGCCATGTGAATCTGGGCAATAATGGTACTGGAAACAACAGAGCCAATGGAAGTGGAAATGGGTCCAAGGACCAAGTGAAAGGAGGTCATTTTTTACTAACTTTGATAATTCTAATCAGGATTATGTCTATCATGTTTCCTTTATTCCTGAATCATTATATGTACATGATGATGATGTTGCTTGGTGGATCGACTCTGGTGCAACAAACCATGTATGCAAAGATAATCGGTTGTTTGAAACATTAACACTGCTTGAAGATGGATCTGTGTTGCATATGGGAGACAATTCTTTTAAACTTATTTGCGGTGTCGGTGTAGTTAATCTTGAATTTCCTTCTGGATAGATTGTTAAACTTTTTGATGTTTTTTTTGTTCCTGAGATTCGAAAGAATCTTGTTAGTGGTAGTTGTTTGAATTATGATGGTTATTAACAAGTTTATGAATCAGATAAGTATATCCTATCTCGAGGTGGATTATTTGTTGGTTTTGGATATTTAAATAATAGAATGTTTCGTTTGAATGTCACCCCTACACCCACACGTTGATGCCTATGTCGAGGCCCACCTACCCCATCACACACCTATACCCCCACCTATCCCCACCCATGCTACCCCTATACCCACATATACATGTACGCACACACATACCTATCCCAATCACCACACTCATATGCCTACACCAACATGCCCACCCCTAACCTATCCCGTACAAATAGCCGCCCCACACCTATATACGCATCCCTGCCCCAACCCCACCCCCATACCAACACATATACCCACCCACCCCATCCTATCCATCCAACCTACACGCCTACCCCACCCCTACACCCATAAACATACATACCCCATCCTACTGTCCCATCTACACCCACCCACCTACACCCACACTTACCCCAAACCAACACTCACACCCACATGTATATGCCTATGCCAACAATCCCACACCAATATCGACACCCACCCCAACCCCATCCCTACACCCACACCCTCATACAGACCCACACACTCGCCTACACCCATCTCAACAAGTCCACATGGGTTTGAGTGTGTAATACTTTCATTAAAGAAAGTTTAATCATTTCTATTAAAAATAATAAAAAGTTACAATAAATCAATAAACCGGTATATTGGTCGTATTACATAATTTACATTCCAATTCCTTTTACAAATATACACACCAAACATAAAACATATTCATCTCTATATCAACCAAATGCATAACATATTGCAATTCCTTCGGATTCCAATTCCTTTTCCAGATTCCATTTTTTCCAAAAACATTATGTGAACCAAAGGCTTCCTTAGTGTATTTTATGAAGTTAACCCTTAAGTTTAATTAACAAGATGTTACATCTTACTTTACATAAGTACGATATTCTAATAAAACTAATATATCATCATGTTTTAGTTAACTTGAAGATCATTGATATTGTTTATTGTTTTAAACTACAAATTTAAACATTCGTTATAATTATGAATAAAGAAATGTCATGCAACTTTCGGTAATTTATATTAAAGAAGAGGCCTCTATGGTGGACGGAGCAGGAGGCGGGTTAGGGCAGACGGTGGCAAGACTGCCGGGATGTTGATTCCATGCAATAGTCGGTACTTCTAGAAGAATGTGGGTTGTGGAACTCGTGCTCATATTCTACATATATCTGCAAAGGTCATTTTAAAAAAAAATCCATTTCCCATTATAATTACCCTTCATACCACTTCAAAACCACATCTCTTCTTAATACATTCAAATTCTCTTCAAATTTCATTAAAATTTTCAATCCAATATCATTTGCAATGAATGCTATTCCTAGTCTAATTGAAAGATGCGTATAATGATCCAGGAAGAAGTGACGTTTGCGAATGATTATACATATGAGTGATGTGACAAGTTGAGAGAAATGAGAGGAATGAATGCCATCCACCTAAAGAGCTACAACATCAATCAAACCAACATAAATTATCAATTTTTATATCAGAGAATGAATATCTACGATTAGCTTATGAGTCGAAATTGTGTTTTATTGTGTACATAGTTTATTTTCTTCATATATTAAACATCATTCATAGTACATGCATAAAAACCAAACCTAATTACACAAAACAAGTAAAGAAAAAACACACACCTAGAAAAGCTTCATATTCCACACTAAAAGGGTTAAAAAAGAAATCTAAGCATCGGGCCACATACGAGTTTATGCTAAAAGTTCGAAAACAAAGTTTTTTCAAGGTTGTTTGGCCCGTTGACTATCAATAGTTGTTTCTGTATACGTCATTAGGTTTAGCAACAAACGTAGGACGTGCATATCGCTTCTGTGGTTCTGCTGGTTGAGCACGGATGGAGAGTTCATCAAGTACCCCTCTTTGCCTTGGGTCCGACCGTGGAGAATGAGTCATTGATTCCAGAAAACCCAAGGCCTCGTTGATATTATTGGTCGAAGTTGTAAGAGGATGATGTGTCATCGGTGGACCAGAAATGATTCCGGTCCTAACCTGTCTGGCTACAAAGCCCGGTCCAGACTGAACCATATGGGATTCATCTGAATGGTAACCATGGACCGGACTTGAATGAGGATACTTCTTCGGGCTAGTTTTCATGGTCCAACTTCCTTCATTGTGGAATGTTGGAGAGCTTGAGTTCTCATAGTTAAACCCATGATTCGGACTATTGAACTTTGTTGGGGAATGAACATATTCCTTCAGGAGCTCCATTTTCGATGGCGAACCAACAAAGTCGGTGTACCCAGTTGTTGGCGTGTGGGCCCAGTCAATCTTGTTCGAGCCGTGATCATAGCTACCTTGTTGGGCGGGTATATCAGTGTAGGTTGAGTAGCCTTTTGTCACATATGTTATGCCTGCCATTCTTAGTTGGATGCAAAGATTGTTTGTTTGTTTTGCTTGATATATATGGCTATGTTTAAAGATGAATGATGTGGTAGTGTCTTATATAGTACAACATATCGACTAAAAAGATATTTTCATGTGTTAACTGTTTCAAGATTAGGATTCGTTTGGATGGTTTGAAGAATCGAATTCTTGTTTTTAGATATTTTTGATACAAGTGGAACATATTCCTATTTATTGGGTTTACTGTTGAATTCAAATTCTTACAGCAATCATTGAAAACAAATAGTACTTTTGACGTTTTGGTCACATATCCTGTAATGCCGTTTGGATTTTATATTTTATATTTTTTTTTCATATACATCAAGGAAATTATTTTTCATTTTGATTACAATTATAAATCATCTAATTAACATGTGGGAATATGACGTATGTGTGTATATATGTGGTGCATAGCAGCATAGGTGGCAAGAGGGTTGGGAAAGATCCACTCCTCCCACCCTTATAATCATTGTTGGTTTGCATTTAACAGTTTAATCCAGTTAAACTCGATGTCCATACATGCGAATCTGGTTAATAAAGAGATAGATTTTGATTCAACCATTTGCGTTGTGTGTGTTCTTCTGTTGGGACGATCAATCACCTACTTGTCAATTGCCCACTTGCCAAGTCTATTAGGAGCTTGATAGCTAGGGTGGGATTTTGACTACATTTCTCTTCAGGAGGGCATGAGAGAGAATCTTTGGGTCATATCACCATTTCTTTCGCTTTCCTTTCTCTTACCTAAAACCCAAGGAATGGGTGGGAAGGACTTCCCTCACTATTTTTTTTAAATAAAATTAATTGATTTTTATGATTTATAATTTTTAAATTAAAAGTAACCAAAAAATTTAATTAAAAAGAAAATGCATTTCATTAATTAAAATAAAAATTACAATAAACTTAAAATTTAAAAAACTAGAAAGTTAAAAAAAAAAAAAAAAAAAAAAAAAAAAAAACACAAACTAAAAATCAAACAAACCAACAACGACCTATGGAAAATATTTTTTCATAATTTTTTCCTTCTTCTTCATCACGAGCTCGAGAGCCGGTCCCGATAGATGATCAGTGTTTTCCATCAAAAACTTCATATACTCCATTTCTTGTCTTTCCGCCCGCTCCTTTTTCCTTGCTTCTTCTTTTTCTTTGTCGAACGTCAAACGTTCGGAGAAATTAAGATTATATCGATCAAACGACGCTGTTATTTTCCGCATTTCGTCAACCTCTATGCTGAAATCCGATGCACCCGAAGAAGTCCCTTTTCCCTTTCTCTTCGCTTTGTCCCTACCCATTGAGCGGACAATTTCTTCCAGCTCGAGTTCGTCATCCTGATTTAAATCTAGACCGACCCGAGCATCAGAGGAGGTTGTGTAACCACTACAGCCCGTTTCGTTCGCTTTGATTATTGGACTCCAAAAATAAAATATTGCTCGTATTTTTTCCACCTAGGACATCAGACCAATAATTTCCAACAATCGTGCCACTTGAATGGTTTTCCGACTTCCTCAAGGTAAAATTGCAAAGCTTCTTGAAGTATTTGTTCGTCGCCTTGGCCGCTTTTTCGTTGGGTTTTTAGGTTGTTGTACAACCTGTTTATTTTTGAAACCCCCTTTGCTATTTCTCGAAACTTCAAATTCAATTGATGTTTCGTACGGTAGTCGTCACCTTTTTCTAGCTCCTCTCGAAACCGTTCTAAAATGCGAAACCAAAAATGGTCTCCTGGTTGTGCGTTTCCTTGAATCGAATCCTCATAAATGTTAGCCCAAGCTTTGACCAAAACTAGCTCTTCGTGTGGAAGCCATGCTGTCGGCTTTTGTCTTCCCGGTTGTGCGACACCCTCGCGCGCTTGTTTTTTCCCTTTACGTCTTTGTGGGGGTGGTATGGGTTGAGTTTCGGGAACCATCTATTCTTCTTCCGAGTCATCCAACTCATCGACAAGTTGGCGGTGTTGTTAGGTTTGGGTTTGAGTTTGGGGTTGGGTTTGGGGTTGAGGTTGATTTGGCGATTGTTGATCCGGAAAAACAACAAAGTTTGAAAACATTTGCGGCGTAACATTTGGAACTTGGATCGGGTAATGTTGTCCAACATTTTGGTATTGAAATTGTAGTGGGGATTGAATGGGAGCATCGAGTTGGGGGCGATAAACTCCTTGTGGTGATGAATCGATAGCAAAAATGTTTCGAGTACGGATGTTTAAACTCGAACCATGACTTTTTTTCTTCGATCGGAAGTTGGGGTTTGATTGTCGGGATTCATTTTTTATTTTTTGAGAAGAAAATAGAGAGAATAGAGGGTTTGTTTGAATGTTGATTGAAGATAAATAGTTTGGTATTTATAGGTGTTTAAAAAGGTAAAAAAAAACAAAAAAAAACAAAAAAAATTGGGTTTAAATGCATATATCCGTTGGTAAAAAAAATAATAAAAAAATAAAATAAAATAAAATAAAGAAAAGTTTATTTTTTTACCGTTAATCAACGGCTATTTCACAAAAAAAAATGATCCGGCCAATGATAGACGGAGAGAGAACGCGGGGTATCTTCCCCTCTCCGGTTCCCGCACCTCCGCCTCCCGCAGCGACGGTCCGGTGTTCCGTCGTGCGGGAAGGCTCCCGCTCCCTCTTCCCGCTATGATTCCGTCCAGTCTTAATATTTTTGTGAATTTGACTTGCTCTAAAATTAAGTTGAACGCTACTGAGAAAAAGTTTTACTATGATCATTATCACAAGTTTTTGGGTTCTTTGGAACTTTTGAAAGAATACTATTTTTGGACAATTACACCTAGAAAGAAGTAGGTCTTTGACAAATTGGTCTCTCATTTGTACTTTTTGGATTTTTAATAGGATAAAAAAAAACGTAATTTGAACCAGATCGGTTGGTTGCATAATTTGAACCAAATAGCGTGGGGAGCATCCATGTAACGAAAAAAAGTTAGCGACAAAAAGCAAGAATTTCAGAAACCACAAGGACCATTTATGTAACTTTGTTTAAAATGAATTAAATAGATATTAAAGAACAGAAATATGACCAGATCATATCAGATAAAAACAAGGAAGTTCGAATAAAGCGAAAGAATGAGAGGAAGGAAGAAAAAGAATCGGTGAATTGAAGATCATAGTACGTCGATTTATGCATCTGACTCATCTAATATTGAGGAGAAATCATTCTCGGTTGAACTCGGGGCCGATTTAGTGAAGGTATGTTGATTATATTTGTAAAATTTGCTTAAGTTGTGTTAAATTAAGACATAAATGATAAAAGTAACTTAGAAGAAATTTGAGTGGAGATTGTTTTAATTGACCTAACCTTGTCAATTCTGGGAAACTCTCGGTTAAATTGAGTAATGATGATGAAAATGAACTAGATAATGTTGATTAATGAAATTTAAAAATCAACTAAATGAGAGCTCGAACTAGGATTTATAAGCTGAATTGTGAAATACTATATAGTTGGGATATATGATGTAATACTTCTTCTTTAATAAGTTAAATGAGTAAATTGCACATCGGAAAATTGTTTATAGTTATGGAAAGAGTGTAGTAAGCGTTATTCACTTGTAACACTAACCATATTTGTGATTTGATTTTATTTTGGTTATGCTCCTAACAAACGTGAAATGAATAAATTGCCTAATTTTTTTTTCTACTTTAATCTTTTTTCTAGATTGAGGCTTCGAGGGTTTTGCTCGAGGCCGGAATGCGAGTCGCGGGGACTCCAGAAAAGGAGTGATGATTATGTTCAACTGGGGTTTCGCAGCTGGAAGTAGAATGGTTAATTGATGGATTGGAATGTCGTTTTCTAGGGTAAGGATTGTGCCCTTTCAGTTTTCAAGCTCGAAGAAGTGAGCAGACTTGGAACCCCAGGATCAGGTTGTAATCCAGCTCGGGGTTAGTTGGTCGCCGGGATTGGCGACAGTAGTTCAGCGCTGGTGAGCGCGGGTGGGTCGGTGTGACATAAGTAGTTTGTGAGGTCCGGTTCCCCTTGGATCTCTTGTATCGGGCGGTAAGGATTGATTGTACGATCTATTGCACTTTTGGGATTGGAGACTATGCCTTGGGAGTAGTTTGTAGCCCGGTATAGGGCAGAGGTTGCTTCAGCTACTGCAGTTCAGCTGTGGACGATTGAGCTGGTGAGTGAGTCAGGGTGCGAGACCCTGAATGATATTATTTCTAGAGCCGAGGGCGGGAGATTTGTTGGAGCACTTTGGGAAGAAGGGTATTATGTGGGAGGTTTGTGGACAGGGTCCCACAATATGGTTATTCAGCGTTGTCAGGATTCAGTAGTTCAGTAACCGTTATTGATTAACAGAGGGAAGCGCCAAGGGAAGTAACTCGTTGCTGAGATGTTAATTGGAGCATCTACCTTTTGGACTTCAGGATTTGAGTGCGGGATCATTCAAGTTTTAGGGACTGTCGGTTTCACTGGGATTCAGGAAGTGTTCAGCTAGTTCTTAGAAGTGTGTGATCACTTGTGGTTGGCGGGTAATGGAGCCCTAGTTAGAAAGAGTTGGTGGTCATCGGATCGATCGTTGGAAAGTGAGAAGGATTGGGAATTCTCAAAATTTCATGTATTGTGAAGACTTGGTTGAATCTAAGTGGGGGAGAATCGTCCCGGAATGCAGAAGCAAGATCGGTTTTGAAACTGGGATAGGTTTCGCATCGTTTTCAGGAAGGAAGATGTGAGTTGGGAGTTCGGTAAAACTCCCCAGCATGTGAATCGCGCCTTCTCGGTGCTTGATAGCAAAACTTTGGGAAATCAGGTTGGGATTCTAGCCATGATTTGAGTTCGGTTGTGTGTCAGGTCGAGTGCGTGTTCGACCGATATGGAAAGTGTTGTAAGACTGTGGGTGTAGCCGTAGCATTCACCAGGTTGGCAGATAGTGTGGGAAGTGTTGTAAGTCTACGGGTGTAGCCGTAGCATTCACCAGGTTAGCAGATAGTGCTAAAGTGATGTAAGTCTGTGGGTGTAGCCACAACATTCACT